GGCCCTTCCTTCGGTTTTAGGGTTCCTTTCCTCCATTTTGGGGTGTCCCCCCCACACACACACCGTTACCACAGTGATGGGCAGGGTTCCCCCTACCCCTTCAATGGGTTTTGGGCTGGGTGGGGGTTTCAGGGGCTGTGTGAAGGCACCCCCCGACCCTAAAAAGGGAGGGGGTGCTGCTCTCTGCACCAGGTCTGTCAGGGGGTCACCCTATGGGCCCCCCCCCATGCGTTTGAGTGCCCCCCAAAAAAAACCCTGGCTTGGGGTGTGTGTTGGTGGCGGGGTTTGGGGTGTCCAGCTCCTTCTCGCACCGGGTCGTGCTCCCCGTGCCCCACCATCCCGTCTGGGGTGTCCTGTTAACGGGGCCTTTGCCTGGTAAATGCCCCACGTCAGTTGCCCCGGGGTGGGCATCGGTTTCTCTTCTGCTGGTTTTTCACCCGCTCCCGGTCTCGAATCTCTCCCCGCCTCTGGTGTGTGTGTATAAACACGCGGATGCATCCCTGCCTGCGCTTTTTTTAGCTGGCATGGGAGGGATCCCTTTTAGTTTTTATAAAATTTGTGCTTTTCAGGTCTGGCTTTAACAGAACGCCTTTGAGGATTTAAACGTGCCAAAGATGAATCTTTGAAGCGCTCCTCTTTCTCTTTTTTTAAATGGGGACACAGCAAGTGAGCAAAAAGGGAACAGAGTCATCGGGCTGACCTCGCAGGAATGTAAAGCTTTGCAAGCTTTACAACCCCCCCAAATCCCTCTGTCTTCTGCGCCATCCAGATAGCAGGTTGGACCTGATGGCAGTGCCCCTGTCTTGCAGGGCTAGCAGCTTGCTCATGGGACTAGTGACTATCTTAGCTTAAACATTACCCATGGTCATAGTGCTTTGACATCGTGGGCAGGAAGATAGCATGGGGCAGAAGAAAACCCGAGTCCTGCAATTGCAGATGATCTTGGTTTATAATAGCTTATCTGTGCTGACAGTGCCTAGGAGTATCTGTTGGGCAGCAAGTTTCTCTGCTTGTGTCTTGTTTAGCCTTTCTTCTCTGCAGCGGGAGGTCTTGGAAGGGGAATAGCACCAAGGGGAACGTGCCCCTCTTCAAGGAGTCCCTCTGCTGTGGAAGGAGTTGCCTGTATGGGAGGAGCTGGAGGAGCAGTTGGCGCACTTTTGATTTTTGCACTGGATTCCAGTGCGGTTTGCATCGACCCTGGTGGTGTACAGAGGACATGGAGGCCCTCTTGTAACGCCATTTTGAAAACTGTTCTCTCCTTCGCGCCCTCGACTACAGGAAGGCAGTTGGGTTTCCATGTCATCCAACCTCATAACAGTGCCTGTTAAACTGAAATAGAAAAACAAATGTCTGTTGCTGTCAAGGACTTTTAGTTCTGCATTATCATTTATGCTGATACTTGCAGATCTGAAAACGAGCTCACAACATAGCTTTCTTGTTTGCAAATCTGTAGATGACCAGAAAATGCAGTGTAAGGACTGGCCCTGCCTTGATGTGGTAGGGCATGGGGGTGCATCTGCACAGGACTTGGCATTTAGGGTGGGTCCTGGGTGCTTGTATTGCGTTGGGCAGATGGGCAGCAGGTTGCGGGCAGCTGGTCGAGGTGCCTGGAGGAATTTGGGTGATGCAAAGGACATGTGGGTATCTGGGCAGGTGGGGCAGAACTGGGGCTTGAAGGAGAAATTTCCGAGTCGCTGAAGCAAGCTGTGAAGCAGGGTGCTCAGGTGGTGGAAGTTCTCAGGTTGCGTGCCCTGGGGCCTGAGGCAGCCAGAGATGGGAGAACTGGGGCAACTGGGGCCTTCTAGGAACATTGCTTTTGTATAAGGGAGTTTGTGTGGGTGGGTCCCTCTGGTTTCAGCCCTGTTGTTGCCATCACCTTTGCTTGCTGTTCCTGGGTGCCCTTTTCTCCTAGAGCCCGGGGGGGTAAGCAGACATCCAGCTGCTGCATCTGCCGCTGCTGACCAAATGAACAGGTCTTTCCACAGCCCCGCTGGACATGGACTGCCCCACATGGGCTGGTCAAGCGTGCGAGGGCTGTGTACGGGGTGCAACGTTTGGCAGGTCTGCAGTTGTAGCTGTGGGTGCCAAGTGTTTTTTGTTAATCTGAAATGAAGTCAGGAGCAGCCGAGGTTGCAGCTCCTGCAGCGATGTTAGTCTGATTGCACAGTAAGGTGTGTGCTACGCTGCTTGTGCTGGGCAAACAGTGAATTCTGTAGCAGCAGCTGGGGTGCAGAGCCTGGACGCTCAATTCTGCTGTTGCTAATCATTTACCATCGTGTCTTGTGATGCTACATTGGGTCCACGCTTTGCATTTCATTACAGGCTTTGCAGCAAACCTCTCTGTCAGAGAAGGCAGGAGTTTGAAAACCTTTAAGTTATACTATTGCCTCTGTTTTTAAGTTCATATTGTAATGGTTTTTCCTGTGGCACAATGGCATTTAAGATTCTTTGTGTTAAAGTGAGAGAGACTGGGATGAAAACTGTTCTGCAGGGGAAACTACTCAAAATGAGATTGTTGTTCAAGCAGACATCTGTGGGGACGTGAAAGGAGGATGTGGAGGAGAGTTAGCCTTGGTGTGTGGTCAAGTACTGTGGAATTGCCTTGGTCTCTTCTGAGATTTCCACCAGTTACAAGTTCCCCTCTGGGTTTCTGTTGACAGGGACAGGCCTTCCTAGTTGAGAAGAGGCTTGAACTTGGCAGAAAGTCAGAGGATTCATGGAAGAGGGGCATGTGTTTGGGGAGGGAATGTTGCTTCCTTCCCTTTTCTTTTTGGTACAATAAATCTTACCCCATTTCTAAACTGTTTCTCCTACAGTAAGCGGGAGCAGGAGGGGCTGGGTGGAAGCAGCGCCTGGAGCGGGCTGTGCCTGCATTGCCCTAAATTGTGTGGGTGGGTGTTGAGGTGGAGGGCCTCATGCAGATGTGGTGTATGCTTCCCAGATGATGGCTGAGAACTAGACTGTGGGAGGAAGATCTCTAAAGCACTGCTCTTCAACGCACTCTTCTTTGGTGGGTGATTTACTGAAAGTCCTTTCAGCTTGGGGCGGGCGTCAGTAAAATCTGGAAGGCTGCCTTGGTGCCTCTGTAGAGTTTCCTTGTGTGAAAAGGCTGTGTCCAAACTTAAGGAAGAATAATAGTGAAGAACCATAGCATTGTTCTGCAATTGTGTGTTTTGAGTGAAACATAAGGTTAGGTGGTGTTTTGCACTTGTGCTGGTCTCCCTTTCTCTTCTGCCATTCGCAGAAATGATTTTCTGACTTCTTTCTTCAGCACATGTAGCTCCGGCGGGTTTTGACCGACCGTAGTGCTTCTGAAAGGTAAGTACTTTCTTTTAGTCATCCCAGAAATGTGACTCAAACTCTCACTATCTGGGCGTAACTGCTACATACCAGAAGGGAGAGATGCCTACCTTTTTCTGCCATTTATTTCTTCTGTGCATTGGAATATTTTCCTTTGCGGAAGGTTACATTATGTAAAGTTCTCCCTGCCACCTGTAAAAACTAAGAGTGGTCTTCTTGCTGCATGACTGTGAGAATCAAAACTTTTCCCTCTGTTTCCTCACACTGAAAAGTAAGAATTATTGGGGGGGTGTTGGGTTTTTTCCTATTTCTTTTTTTATTTCCAGTCTCTTGATGAAGCTGTGGGTGTGAATGGCAGGATGCAGTACCATCCTGTCTTGAAGGAGCCTCGTGAGGAGACAGCAGCATGGGGAGGCTGTCTAGAGGAAGAGTGCTCTTGGGGGGAAAGCTTTGTTGGAAGGGGGTCTGCTGGAGCAAGAGATACGTAGGAAGCTGTGGAGCAGACCTGGGAAAAGATGATGCTGGAGATCTGAGGCTGTTTACTGGGCGCTGCCTGAGCGTTTCACATGCTAGCTTGCCTGCTGGGTGAGGAAACATGAAGGGAATCTACGCACATCCCCTGGACTCGAACAAGAGGTTGCTGGTGCAGGGATGTTACTGCTCAGTGTGTTGTGGGATGGCCTTGCAGCATACGGATTTTCGCACCAGCCCTGGTGCGGATATCCCCAGGGGCAGTGGAAACTGATTGGGGTGAGGCTGTGGATTCACAGCAGCTGAGTGGATCCTAACAGTTTGCTCATGCCCCAGGCTATGTGCTCCTCTTCTTGTGCCAGCTCCTGTCTTCTGACCTGTCTCCCTGTTGGTTTCCTGTAGGCTAATGAGTTGCAGTGGTTTGCAGAGGGGTCTGCGAGCATGTGAAGGTAACAGCACGGACATGTGACCAGGAGGGACACAGTGAGGACTGCTGGGGCATGGAGCCACTCCAGCAAGCTGTATGTTTCCACCCCTACATAGCGTTAATTCCCTCTCCCAGCTGAGTGCTGAGGGGGTTGTGACCTGCGTGAAGTCCACAGCTGGCTATTCTCCGTGAGGGTTTGCTGCAAATGCGCTTGGAAGGGAGAGGCTTTGCCTCTTGGTACAAAAGATGCGTGCCTATGGTGGGAATGGGAGCTTCGCTTGGCCAGTGAGAGCGTGTTCTGGCCTGGCTTGAGCAATGGCAACTATGTGCCATATCGGCAGAGAAAGATGGACAACTTGCTCGAGTAATAATTATGATCAGGTGATGCTACATAATTAAAAATGCTGGTTAATTCAGATAGGGAGAGGTGTTAATTTAAATGTATCTTAACCTCCTGATCTGTTGGTATGCTAACATTTAGGAGAGAACTCTTGTTAGGAGAACTGCTGGCACATTCGTTAGAGGCTCACTGTAGATTTTTGGTGCATTTGGAACTAGGAAAATGTCTAATTACTCAGATGACTAGGTACATTCAGAAGTGCTTGTTTGGAGGCTTTGTTTTGACTTTGTTTGAATAGCACAGAATGCCTAACATTTTACACCGAAGGAAATTGAACACAAATGAGCGCACAGGATAGGCTTTAAAAAAAATCGCTAAGGCAATGTTGAATATTTGAGATGCATGAGGAAAAGCATCCACAACTGAGCGATGGAAATGAAATGCTTGGGGTAAAATGCAGTGGCCAAAACCAACCCCTTTATTCTTAGAGCCAGGACATCCTGTTTCTCCTAGTCTTCATGGAAGAGATCAAGACCAAAATAACAGTACTTTGGGAAAGATCAAGTGATCGCTTAGTGCTCCCCATTTAAATCCTATCACAGCAGTTACTAAGTTTGTCACTTTGTACAATACTACTGAATGTAATTTGGACTCTTGTATTTAGTGGAAAAAATTTTCTGTCTAGAGGCTGAGTGGTTGTTGGAGTCAAACTTCCAGTTAAACCTACTTTGAGGTCATCTTTTAGCTGATGTAAGATGAAGCTTGTGCATGTCAAGAACAGTTCTGAAAAAGTCTTAAAA